CACCGCAACCTTGATGTGCAAAAGACACGATCACCCTACACCCAACCTAAACCCCGAAAAACCGTCAACCCTTACGAGCTTACACCCCAAATCCTCCCTAAGCCCTTGTCGACTCGAAGCCTAACCCCTTTGAGCCGTAGCACAACCACCCCACGGGGCAAGAGGGACCCCACATTCCTCGCCATAGGGGGGTCGGGGGGGCCCCAGCCTTTTCTACGGACCATTGACCTTTGCGGGGTGCAGGGGGAGGCCGCGGAGTGCGTGACCATTGTTTCCATTGCTGCTTCTCTCGCCAACATACATCTGCATCGAACCAGTCTAAGCTTCCATTCACCCATTTTGTTATGTGCACGCTGTGATGCAAAGAGCCAATGCTCACCGCCGCATTGACATGGCCAATCAAAAACAGCAACCATGGTAAGGGCATCAACCAGTTGAGCGCTCAAGCAACACTGGATGTGTCGAAAACTGTACTTCACTTTGGTTGACAAACGCAACACGGCAGGCATTGCGGAAAGAATAAAGTTCGCAGAGGTTTTTGTAAAAACTAAGCAGAGGACCTGGACAAGGCAGCCTCCACGCCTCTATGGCAGCTACCCTCTCCCCTTGGCACACAACTACAAAGACAACTCGAGCCTGGAAGCTCGTGTGTCTGTGTGTGGGTGCGTGTGTTGCACGGTTTGTTGAGAGAAGCTGGACTTGGGGTGGCAGGCCTTCGCTTTCCGGACGGCAGTGAGTGGCGCTGGAGGCGGCGACTTGGACCAGGTGCGGAGGGCTCACCAGATGGCCTTGAGCTGAGGATTTACATCCTAGGTGTTTGGTGCTGAGGCTGTTGGCCTTGTGCCGTATCTGTCCGGGGAGGAAGCTCCACGAAGCTTGAGAAGCACGTGCAGAGATCGGATCATGTCCCGACAGCCATTTTTGGCTCGCAGGCTCGCACTCTACTTCTAGCCCGGCATTTCAAGGTCAAAGCCACCATGAAGCAATCCTGTGCTGCGTGGATCGTGTTTCTAAGCTCCTTGCCGCTGCCGACGTGCGGAACACAGTGCCGTTGCTACATGAGCTGTCCAGATCCAGATGACTACTGCATCGAGACGGACGGAGAGGGCCAGTTCGTGGTCGTTGATGGCACCCCAAAGGTCTGTCAGACCTGGGATGATAGCTGCGAGGAGGGGCGTTGCTACACCAACATTCCCACCAGCGAGGATGCCAGGATTCAACACATTAGCTCAGAGCTGGAGGAGGTGGACAATTTCTTTACGTATGTGGGAGTGGCCAAATGTACTCTCTCCATTGCCATGCTTCTTTGGAAAAGCTGCAAAGGCCAAAAAGACAAGAGCAAGCGCCCCAAGTGGGTCACGGGCTGGTTTGTGACTTCCGAAGTGCTGCAAGCCACTGCCTTCATGTTCAAGAATGTTGACTGGACCGACGCTGCGGTTTCCTACATGGGGGGAGCCTACGAGCCATGCTCGCCCAATCACGTGACTTGTTTGTCCATCTCTGTAGAGTGCGTCCTCTTGGGCATCGTCTCTCTTCTGCAGATCATCGATGCCGTGGTCACCATGTGCTTGCCAGAACCCCAGGAAGCAGGAAAGTGGGCTGGCTGCCAGGACCGCCTTGAATTTCTCTTTGAATACGTGCTGCCTCAAGCCGTAATAGCGGTGTGTTGGGTGTTGTGGGCCATGCGGGCCGTAGAGCCAGGCTATTGCGACATCCTTCCGTTGCTGCTGCTTGCGGCGAGTCTCCTGTGTTTATGTTGCTCTTGCTGCTGCAGCTCGAGGGCCTTCTATGTTGAGGCAAAGAGCAAGGGTGAGCAAGAGCCACCCACGAAGTCAGACACAGTGTGATGCTGTGCCGTCAAAGATCCTTGTGATGGTTCTGTAACAGATCCTGACACAGTATAGAGGCGAGGAGCAGACAAAATCATTTCAAGGCTTCTGTTGATTCGAGCAGCGCTCGATTTGATTGCTCGACGTGTCTTCGACTTCTTGACCCAAAAAATGACTTTGTCAGCTGCTCAGAAGTGCGAATTCGGTTGCTTCTGCAGCGCCTAATGGGTTTTGCAGAAGCAAGTAACCATGAGTACGCCACGCAGAAAGCTTATGAGAAGCTTGGAGCCAAGTTTTGAAGGCGTACAATTCCTGCAAGTGTGCTGAGACCCGGCACCTGTTTCAAGAAGCAAGGGGGTTGAGAGAAAGCCGATGGGTTCTGCCTGGATTGCCATGTGAGACTTGCCTGCGCCCTGAAAGCTTCGACCCGCGTCCGGAATAGGAAGCCCAGTGCACGACACCCCCTGAACGAGGCGCAGCGAGACGAGGTGAGACGGGAGGCCCAAGTTTGAAAAGCGAGTTATGAAGCTACAGTTTCGCTGCATGGCGGATACGGGACATGTCAAGAAGCTTGAAAGCCCGAGCATATTGAGAGTTTGGGGATTTCGTGACGGGCTCAAGGGTTTAGATAGTTGTTTAGATCGATTGGGTAGAAAGACATAGGAGACCTGTTCTCTTGAGGCTCCTGTGACAGCAGCAGAACCTTCCAGAACCTTCGAGAACGTTCGAGCACTGTGCCGGCTTGCCCCGGTCGTGCTGAAGGCACTTGTGACGCTTGGTTTCTGAGGGCCCTAAGCAGACATCGGACCAGAGTTGCATTGAGCCTTCGTGGAGGCCATGCCAGAAAAGGAAGAGAGCTGCGCGTCTCATCTCTTCTCATCTTTTCTCATTGCATGTTGTGTAGGGTGTCCAGTTGCGCTGCAACCGCGACATGCTCCAGCATTTGGTGGGCGGCGTGGGCGGTGTGGGCGGTGTGTGTCGGTGGGTTTGGTCCCATGCCGCTCTCTCTGTCCTTGTTGTCACGGTTATCCACCAGCACCCCAACTTATACCGCACTCCCGAGCACCCTGCCCCCACGCTTTGGGGTAGCTTTGTCTTACCATGAAAGGGCTCCAGCCTCACCCACGCCGACCAAACCGCCGACCGCCGACCACGGCGCCCCACAGCAGATCACTTCAGCCCGCCCGGGCCCACGTTTTCCCAAAATCGAAGACCTGCGGAATGCCAGCGACAAAGTGGCACTGGCGGTCAGTCGAATCGTTTGTCCCTACTGGACCGACGCCAAAGACCGCTAAGCGGATTCAAGCAATCAGTACTTAGAGGATCATGGGACTTGGTAAGTAGGGTCACTTTTAACCCTAATTAAGGCAGAACATCCACAGGACATGATTGACGCGGCGTGGTCACCGCGAGAAACGTCTGCTGCTGCCGTCAGAACCCGTCTTAACACTAAAAAGCCTTAAACCCTGAACACTAAGGCCTCTCTGTTCTGACAGGTTGCGGCTGGAGAGAGCCCTGTGGGACAATGGCCCACAGAGCCCGCAGAGGCAGGAAGCAAGTAGTCTCTGGCCGAGCCAGCAAGAGATTCTAGGTTTTCATCGCGATAGAAAAGTCGAAAAGGTAGTCTTGAAATATCGCAAAACTCTACGCTTGTCTTTCTTAACATTATACCTGACCACCCATGCATCTCCATGCTGCAGTCCTCACGACAGAGATGTTGACTTTCATCAACGCCTCCTGTGTCAGCGAAGTACAGCCGAAGAGTGCATCCCAAGCAGAAGGCTCATTAGGGGGGTACCTTTAAAGGGATCCTTTAAGGGTTCCTTAAGGGATCTATAAGGGTTCTATAATGATTCATGCCTGCCAAGACATTCGTCTGTCCGAGGCCTGCGGCACCTCCTCTGAGCTCCTTCCTTGAACTGGAGTCGGACCTTCAAAACGGTTGCCAGCTTTCCGGGGGCTTGCACTGCTTTCCACAGGATGTATCCTGACAGTCTGGGCATTCTGTTTAGGTTGTAAGCAGTGCGACACAAGCTGCGAATCGTTTGGCTTGGCCCCAGTATGCTTGACCATGCATGTGCAGGCAGAAGCAAAGACTTATGGAAAGCATGTACTGTAGCGAAGCTCCGAGCACAACACACTGTTGATTACCGAGTTCGTCAGATGTATGCTGGTGTCAGCAGAGTCGCATTTGAAGTGTACGGGGGAGCTAGCACAACCCAAACAGAGTTTTCAATCCGGTGCACATGGCAATTCCGTGAAATTTCGAGGCACGCTGAGTCAGATTTGTATGGATGGTTGTCAAAATTAGGGGTCCTTCTTGGTTCCTTAATATAATACGGCACCTAATTATTATTTAGGTGTCCAAAAAGGAACCATAATTTTGGCGACCACTTATATGTGATTCAGGGACTTGTCCGGGTGTTAGACATTTAACACAGGGGCCTCAACAGCTAGAAAAGGGTTGACCCCGTAGGCCAGATTGTCTCTGAGCTCTTCCAGGTCGCCGGTTAGTGCTTGAGAGTTTAGGGGTGTATTCTTGGGGGGGTTTTTGAGGTTTAAGCTCAGTCGAGTTTAGGGTTCAGCGTCAGGGTTTAGGGCAATTGGGGTTTAGGGTTTAGGGTAATTCGAGTTGGTGCTTTGGGCCAATCCCTGAACCCTAAGCCCTAAACCCTAAAACCCTACACCCTGCTGGCGTGGAAGGCATGGCCTTTCCGCTGGAAGCGCATGTGGGCAATGGCCCGAGCCCCTGCGTCCACGTTTTGTTCGGTTGCGTTGGTTTGGGGTCCCAGCGACCCTAATCCCTAATTACCTTAAATCCTCAAGGACCCTAGGCCCTAGGCCCTAAACCATCTAAATCCTAACTCCTCGCTTGTTGGCTGTCAATACCGAAAAGAGCGTGGCAGGTGAGAACCAGGGAACCCGGAGTCTCCAATATCTCTTAATTACGGAGTATATGGGATCCCTAAGATGAGTTGAGGAATGCCTCTTAATAGTTCAAGGTTCCGAAGTTACGGTTTCGTTAGGGCTTTGGATTTAGGGTTTAGGGAAGTTTAGGGCCAGTCTAGGGTTTAGGGAATTCGGGGTTTTAGGGTATTGACATTCGAACGACCTTGAAACCAACCCCGCAGATGCGAAGGCTGCCTCGTAGTTATGCTGCAGGTTATTCTTGTCGGCAGGATTGGACCACCTGTTCATGTGTTCGGGACCAGCTGAGCATACGAGGCCAAGAGACGGAACCGAAGCCGTTTCAAGGTGCTTGAAATAAAGTTAACTTACCAAAATAAGGAAGCCATGATGCTTATTATAGATCCCTGTTATGGTAACTTAAAAAATCACCGTTTACAATAACCCAGGGCCAGCTAAGCAGTCTGCATCAAATCCACCTTAAAGCCGAAACTCTCTGGACCATACAACTAATGCATGCAGGGGCTTTAGTGATTCGAACAAGTATTTGGGTAATTCATGTTATAACTATAATAAGGAACAGCAAGACAGTATTCGTAACTATTTAGGCCCCTACACTACCTTCGGCCCCAATGTCCTGAATAATCCAAAACCTCAATCAGCCCACAAAGCGTCAAACCCAACCCCTGCTAGCGTACTACTATACCTTATTGCGCGCAAGCTCGGCAAAAACCCTCAATCTCAACGTGACTCCACAAACCAAAGAAGCCCTAAGCATTCAAGTTGCGCCGCAAGCCCTAAAGCCCTAAAAGTTTAATTCTCCGTAGCCACAAATGTCTTGGAATCATCAAGCCCTGGACCCTTGGAAGGCTCAAGGAGACGCTAAACCCTGAACCCGAAACCCTAACCCCCCGAAAACCTGAGGCCTCGCGGAGCCCGAAGAGGTCATCATGCGCCTTTCCGATTGGCTCTCCTGTGAGGTCCTTTCCTCAGGGCATTTGTGTGTGTGTGTGTTTTTTTTTTTGGGGAAGGGGGGGGGGTTGGGGTATTTAGGGTTTAGGGTTTGGGGCTCTAGAGTTTTCAGGTTTCGGGTTAGGCCTTAGGGGTTTTTAGGGGGTTTTACTGGATTCCTTTGACGGTTCGTTTAGGGGTTCCGTGAATACCATCAACTCCAAGCAGAGCCACGTTGAAGCTTTCAGAAGCCAAGAGACCTTCCCGTGCGGAGATTGAATCCGCTCTTTCATCTTGAAGCTTGGCTTTTGAAGATTCAGAGTTTTAGACTTTAGGGTTTTGTGGGGTTTAAGGGTTTAGGGTTTAGAGTTCAGGGTCTGTGGGTTTGTGGTTGAAGGTTTGAGGGCTTTGGGTTTTGCGTTCATGCCTTTCTCAGCATATCCCAGAAATTTGCTACACCAATCGAGCTCCATCGAGTTGAAAGGCAGCAGCAAATGGGTGTCGCCCCTTGAAAGTTGTGACCCGGAGTGGGGATTACTTTGGGAGGACAAGAGGCCGTGGAGATCCACTTTTGTAGGTTACGGCCTTTTTAGCGGCTGCGGGTAGGGCACAGGATGGGGGACCCTGAACCATATAACACTGATTCAAGCTTCCTGTACAAAGCCGGCAACGAGGTCATCGGAAGCTTTCTCCGACAGTTCCCAGCAAAGCATCGAGTGGAGGCTTGCACTGCAGTATGTTTCGAGAATAACTTCCACAAAGGACGAGGGACGGCCAGTGGAAGACGTAACTTGTCATGCGCCTACAGCTGGAATCGTTATGTTGTCGGGAAGTCTTGGTTTGAATGGAGACTCATCGTTGACCCTCATGCTGTGTGGTCGTCAGCAGTCTTTCGCCAAACATGCTTGCTGGTACACGCATGAGATGTCTGTAGTTCGTTCGAGCATGCGCAATGCACAGCAGGAGTGTTAGCAGCATCTTCTCTTGGCCGCGCACAGAGAGAAACAAGTCGCAAGCAGATTCATAGAAGCTTCTATGAAGCTGGTGTCTGTAGTGCTGGCGCTGAAGATCGAACCAGTCTTTGATTCAGTGCAAGCAAATCAGCATGTGGTGTTGCAATCCTGCGATGCGATTTTCACGGAGACTTCAGCACCATTGCCCCAACACTCAGAATCGAAAAGAAACCATAGACAACACATCTGCCCATGAGCGGCTGTCGGTTCTGTCCATCAGGCAGCTCGCTGTGCCTGTCGCATTGGCGTCCACTGCTGGGGAACACAGAGCCGAGAAAGGAGTCTACATACAGTTCCCGAGAACACATCTAGGGTCTTTTGGGAGCATGTCTCCGTGCACGTCTCCGTATAGAATTATCAAGGTTTGTTTGTTTGAGGTTGTAGTCATGCAAGTCACAGGGTGGAAGTGGTAACGTCCTGCCAAGTTCTGAACTTGCGGTATCCATCCCTCCGGTTGCTAGAGGCAGTGTGTGCTAGAGCAAGACAGGCAACGCAGCTTCGTTTCTCAACTTCCTCCGGATCGAGATAAGTATGCAGGACAATTTTTGTGATTGTCACAACAGTCAGAGTCGGCATGGGCGCGCCTTGTTTTTCGCTGGGTTTGGTAGAGGTAGCTTGTTATCCTAGCAACTTTATGAGAGGCCTGAGGCCCCAGACTCATCGCACCACTCATTCAGAACGTACACGACCGGATTGAGAGCTTCAGAACAGAGTGGCCCTCGTCGTGGTCCTAGTTAGTCGGAGTGGTATCACTAGCAGCAGCGGCAGCGGCGAGAGGAAGCAGAAGAAGAAGAAGAAGAACTAGCACGACTACGTTGTCCGGCACTACCGCTACATCTGACTACGCTTGTTGACTCTACCACTATCGGTCGTTGCTACATCGACGATGGGCACGGCAACCGACAAGGGTTGCCACTGATCAGCAGTCAATGCGACCCAATTCCACGATCATGGCCCCAGTCACTCTTGCATTAGTAGTGAGGATCCTACTCTTTGGCTTTGCAGAACCCTAGTTTCCGTGAGGTCTGTGGGGTTGGACCACGAGTCAGAAGCAATGGAGTTTGGAGGTCAGCCGGGGCCTTCTTCCGTTGGGGGGTTAGGTTACCCAGAGACTCCAATGTCCATTTATTAAGAAATATGCCATAAAATATAGTAGGATCCTTAGTATGATTTAAAGCATATTCCCTGATCAAGGGATACCGGAGTCTCTGGGTAGATTTACGCAAGATGGTCCGGATTGTGGTTCACGGAGCGGAAGGAGAAGTTGATGTAGAAGTGTTCGCGACCGTCCTTCTCCCTTCCGTTCGTGTCGGGGCTTTTGATGCATTTTGTGGCAGACGCTTGATGCCTCGCTGGTTCACCAGGCAACACCTGAGATGTTGTCTTTGAAATATTCTGGTAGCTTACATCAAGTTCCTGAAGAGTTCAGGCTCAGGTGGCTATTGTGTTTCCTGGTACTGGTTTGGTCGGCTGTTTCTCATTGTACGCATGAACCCAGTAGCAACCATTCTTAGTGTGAGCATCAATCCTCTTGTTCTGCGTGGTCTTGATGGTAGTTGTAGTAGCGATATGTTTATAGGTTTATGTCGGTGTTCTCCTTGCTCTTCTCTGTGTTGGCGCTACTTCCACTGTTGTTGACTTGTACCACCGTTTCCCAGTCCTAGTACGATGTTCGTCATACGTTGGATTCGCAAGTTTGACAGGAGGCATAGTGTCGGTGTCTGTTAACTAGTAATTATTGTGAAGGTTAGAACCCATGAGTATTTCTGAAAACTTTGCTTATTCAGTGAATTTAGTTACGTTATTACCTTTATCATTGTTGTCTGATACCACTAAGTACTTCGCCCATCATAGCTTTCGTCCTGTGGTGGGAAAGCGAAACCAACGCTATATTACTGAAAAGCTTTCCTGACTTGTCTTGGTACTGGTGGTGCTAGCCCGCAGCCGTAGCCGTATCGCCAGCCGCAGCAGCAGCAGGAGCAGCAGCAGTAGGAGCAGGTGTAGGAGTGTAATTTTTGTCGTCCTCGCCTTACCATAGTCACCTTGGACGTGCCCCCCGAACCCTGTATAATCCTATTTTCTAAAAAGCCTAGACCCTACAGGACCTCTTGGAGGTGACCGCTTCTATCCACCCGTCTTTTGCCTCCAACGGCCCGGGACCATGACTTGCCTGGAAAAACTATATCATAAATGGCTATAGAGTATGTAATATATACAGTGTATATACCTTTATGTATATGTATATATACATATATATATAAATGAGATGACCTACAATATAATTTGTATGTATAACATACACGAAACATGTAATATATAATATATAGCATGTAGTATGTAACACAACTTTCGAGGTGCGTCGCTAGTGTGGCACCTTGACAATAAAGAAGCTTGAGGAGCCCTCGTGCGCACTAGAGTCCTCTCGGCCTTCGATCTGCCTGCAGCCCTATGCCCCAGGGCCCTCAACCCCGAACCCTAAACCCCTAAACCCTGGTTTAGGGTTTCGGGTCCAGGGGTTTAGACCCTTCACATCTCTGGCGCTAGCTGCCAAAGGCGGTGCGAAGATTTGGGTTTGGGACTCCCGGCCCGGGGCGGCCCTGGACTTTGCACGTATGTGGGTGGTTGTCAAAATTATGGTTCCCTTTTTGGGAACCCTAAATAATAGGTGCCGTACTATGATAAGGACCCAAAAAGGGACCCTAATTTGAAACGCTGCGCGTCGTCCGCCTCGGCCCGGCTGTACGCGCATGCGGCGAGTGGCTACTATCTGCAGCAAGCTCTTGTAGGAAAAAAGTAACAGTTGGAATCGCACTTATAGTAAAAGTAATGTTCATAGCAACACGAAGCAGGATGATTGTGAGTAGTATTAGTAGTGGTAGTATCAGTACGAATTTTGGTGTCGTCATTCCGAAACACTGGATACCAAGACTCTCGCAAGCGGCGGGATGCCTTAAGTATGGGCCGTTGAGGCTGTGGATTTCGTGGGCGTCTTGGATTAGGGAAGCATCACAGCCTTTTCAACCACGTTACTCCGCCTATCCCAACGAAAGGGCGTCTAAAACAAGCCTGAGACGCACATAAAGATGCTACATTGCAGTCCCGTGTCGTCGAAAACTCCAGAAAGCTCGCACCTGTCAGCGAGCGGAGGGAAAGGGGAGGGGCGGGAGGGGGGGGGGTGAAACCATAAACCTCTAAAGGGGTAGCTCTAACAGGTACCTACAGCAATGGCTGCATGCTCATACATATACATTCCGCTGCCCATTGGCTCACAGTGGTTTTACCATATTGAGACAAGACAAGCTCTCCTTGCGTAGCAAGACAAAACAACTACTGTCCGTGTGCAGGGCGCTGCCCTTTGATCCTTAGGGAATAACTGGTCATACACCTCCTAACAAGGAGTATTTCCTTGTGGGTGTATCGGCACAGTTTTCTGGTAGCGGAGCCCGGAAAGGGCCGCCCGCCTCACAAAGTCCGCTACAGCGGTCGGCCTCGCCGAACGCTTGACCAAGCGGATAAGAGGCAGCACAATGTCGAGCTCGCATAGCGAAGCCGACGGCAGTTCCCAATCCTCCGGGGGATATGAGAACGAAGAGACCTCCCAAGGTCCAGCCACTTATGTCGCACAGTCATATGCAACATCTGACCGCATGCTTGCATCATTAGGCATAACGCCCAAGATCGCGCCTGCCTATGATGGCACCACTTCGTGGTTTGAGTATGAACAGTTGATTGACGACTGGTGCGACATAACAACGCTGGATGACACCAAAAGAGGTCCGTCTCTCAAGACGAGGCTCTCCGGATTGGCCGCAGTACAAAAGGAATCACTGAACCGAGAAAGGCTTGCAGCCCCAGATGGAGTAGATTACTTCAAGAAGAAGATGCGTCCATTTTTCGTGAAAGGAGAACAGTACGTTTTCCTGTGGCGTTTCCTCGGCCTATTCAAGGCATGGAAGGGCAACCAAGACTTTGTGACTTGGATTGCTAAGTTTGAGATCGTGCTACAGCGCGTGAAAAACTCATGGATGGATCTCTTACCAGAGATAGCTCTGGAAGATGCCCATCCAGATTTCATGCAAGCTGTGCAGGCAGACCGAACCTTCCTGGGCCTACAGGAAGCAGCCGAGAGAGACACATACGCCGCACGCTATTTCGAAACATGGAACAAGGAACGCCTTGACAATCATCGAAGAGCGTTTCCTCTGAATGATAATCTCCTAGCTCTTCTCTTCCTAGTGCAGTCCGACCTAAATGAGATGCAACGTGAGAGGTTGGTAACAGCATTGACCAACCAAGGTCACCGAATTGAGACCTATACGTACCCTGTGGTACGGCAGACCATGTTCGATCAGTTCTCAACGACCAGAACTGGTCTGCAGGATCCCAACATTCGGCACTCTTCTCACAAGAAGGACCGCCATGGAAGGAGAGACCAACGCCGCAAACGCGGAGGTCGAAACTTCCTCATCCTCGATCAGGGTGAATACGACGGAGTCGATGGATTCTGGCTCCAAGACGAAGACACCCTTGAGGAAGGCTTTCTTGCCGCCGAGGATGAAGAAGCTGTCTTCTGGACAGTTGACGACCATGAAGCCTTCGTTGCAAGGAGATTCAAAAAGGGAAGAAGACCAAGAATGCGTCCCGGATCACCGGGAAGAGCAAAGGGTGGCAAGCGAAAAGGACGTGGCCGTTTTAGGTCATACCGCGGAAAAGGGAGAGCCAACCAGGCAGAACATGATCCAACTGATTCCAGCTATTTCGGTAAAGGTAAAGGAAAGGAAAAAGGAAAAGGTGGAAAAGGCAAAGGAAAAGGAAAGGACAAAGGAGATAAAGGAAGCTCCTTCAAAGGCGCAAAGGCAAAAGGCAAAGGTAAGGATACAGCTAAGTCTGCCTCCTTACAAGGAGACCAAACTGGATCTCCACAGGCCTATGAAAGTTCCACCGCACCGAGCTGGGATTCATGGTATGAGGACAGTTATTATACTGACTCCAGTTGGAATTATGCCGCTTATGACGATCAAACGTCTTATACATACTATGCATCACAAGCCTCAAGAAGAAAAACACGGAGAAAGAAGAGAAGAAATCAAGCAGGATCATCAGGTAGAGGCACAGATCCGAGCGCGCACCAAGAACCCGTGTTCAACTCATCAGTGAGTTACGTGCCCCAGGTCTCTGAACCATCCGAGGGGCAAGGTGTGGAGACTGCAACAGCAGTGTTTCCGTTGCAGCACACCGTCCTATCTGCTCTCACAGAGCGGATCAATCTTGATAAGAGCCCTACCTTTGTCATACTTGACTCTGGTTGTACTAGGGCTATGGGTTCCCGCTATGCGGTGAATAGGCTTATCAAGGCCGTGAAGCAACGTGCCCCAGGCATGATTGATTTCACTTTCTCACCTTCGAACACGAAGTTCTCTTTCGCAGATAGTGAAACAGCTCTTATCAAGGAGCGTGTAACTCTATGGTTCAACACAACTCCAAGAAGAGATACAACCATAGAAGTTCTGGATCAGGGGAGAGTTCCCATTTTGTTCTCCATCGAACAGATGAGGAATCTAAGAATGACCCTCGAGTGTAGTCCCACAGCTGACCTAGCAACGTGTGAAGCTTTCGGTTTGTATAAAACCCCTCTTCCGATTAGTACCAATAACCATTTGGTATTGGACCTTCTAGGCTTCACTTCCACCAGGAAGTATCTCCCTAAGTCAGGTACGTCGTTCAGTGCGACGGAGACTGCTCTAGGAGCCAAGAAGCCTTATACTAGGATACCGGAAGGTCGCTGTCCAGCCTGTGCCGGACAGAAAAGGGCTCACACGTACCTCAAGGGTTGCGACAAAGCACCTGAGGGAGCAGCTGATCCACCACCGAAGAGGATTTCAGGTAAAAAGAAGCCTCTTCCATCTGATCCGGCAGAATCATCTGCCAAGAAACTTGATCCACCAGAACCATCTGGTGATGCTCCTGAGCCTTCCGGACCATCGGAACCATCATCAGGCTCTAGGGACAAACCTGCAGAATCCTCTGCACCACATGAACCTCCAGAAGAAGAAAGACTTGAGGTCCCACCTGCGAAGATAAAGACTCCAAAGGGTCTTAAAAACCTTCTGAAGAAATCCCGCAAATATGCGGTTAAACCTCCTGTTGAAGAGAAGTCTAAGGTCCCAGGAGCTGATGACGGGACGGAGGTAAGACCACTTGAGTCAAGAGAATACCCGGCTCCTGGTACAGACTCACCTACAGGTGAAGAGATTGTCGCGGAACCATCGCCATCTCTTCCCATTGCTCTTCGCAGGATTCATGAGAAGCTTAAGGACCCTGTAGAACTCTATAAGCTTCACCTTAAGCACCGTCATATGAGTACGGATCAGTTCAAGCGACGCACAAAAGCCTTACAGATCCCAAAGGAGATATACGAGCTATATGACCAACTGGTCAAAAAGTGTTCAGCCTGCCAGGAACATGTGAGAGCTCCTTCAAGAGCGAAGATTTCTGGTTTAAGATCAGAGACTTTCGGTGATCTCACCTTCGTAGATCACGGTGAGCTTCCAATTCCCGGCAAGGATAGTCGCTTAGTATTTCTTATTCTCTATGATGGAGCAACAAACTTGTTGACTGCCGAAGTAGTCCAGGATAAAGAAGAACATACTACAATGTCGATTATGAATGACTACTTTGAGAAATTTCAGATCAACCCAAAGGTTGTAGTTGGAGATCAAGCATTCATGACTCCAAAAATGGAGGCTTATTACAATCGGCAGAATATCAAGCCTGTGGCAACAGGACCTGGAACACCATGGCCCAACAGGGCCGAAGCTGCTGTAAGATTGCTGAAGCATCAGATTAAGCTCATACTTCAGATCCTGAAGGATGGTGACCCGCAGTATAACGGAATCACCATGAAGTATGGCAACCTCGTTCGCCAAGCATGTTTGGCAAGAAACTCTTCGATTACCTACGGAGGAGTTACTCCTTTAGAAATGGCCTTTGGAAGGCGTCCTCGAGATGTTATAACACCAGAGAACGCTGATCCCAATCAGTTGACAGGTAATCCAACTGATACGGAAGTCACTGCGAGAGCCATTAAGGAGCTTGCCAACAGGGCTTACCAAGAGGCACGCCAATCTGATGATCTGCGTAGAGATCTTGCA